CACGCGTGGCCGCGTGCCTGCCTCGGAGTGCGGACAAAAAGGTTGAGCCCGGCGCGTCCCGGACAAGGTGCGGGGGGCCAGTGGGAGCCCCGGGGATCCCGACCCCCCGCGATATGCTGGTGCTGAAAGCCCCCGGGGCTCCGGGGGCGCCTTCGCCAGCCGGAGGATGCGAGGGAGGTGGGAACGAGCATCGCGGAAGCGCTTCCACTGCCCCGCGGCCGGCCCGCTGCCTGTGCCGAGGTTTGCACCGGGAAACAGCCGCTGTCCGGCAGTGAGGACCAGGGGAAATGGCCTTAAACTGACGCTGGGGAGATTCGGATTAGAGATTAGGAAAACACTGGGTGGTCAGGCATTGGAGTGGGTTGCCCAGGGAGGTGGTGGAGTCGCCATCGCTGGGGGTGTTCAGGACGTGTCTGGATCTGGCGCCGGGTGATGGTTTGGGGGTTACAGTGGCAGTGCTGGGTGATGGTTGGACTGGATGATCCTAAAGGTCTCTTCCAACCTTGATGATTCCATGATTCTCTGATTCTAATATTAACTTCTGGAGGGAGGCACATGTGTTTGTGCTAAAAAAGAGCTGATGTGCAGATCTGTGAGGAGACAGGTCTGGGCTCCAGCCTCAGTCACCGAGACTTGCCTGTGCCTTGTGCTGGAGGTTATTAAAGGGCAGTGCTGTGTCACTTTTGTCATTTAATTAAGTTTTTTTTTCTGTTGTGCAGCTTGTGGTGTTCTGGCCATTGACAAGGCCAGGGAGCCCATCACCTTGGTGCTGGCAGAAGATGGGACCATTGTGGATGATGAGGATTACTTCTTGTGTTTGCCCCCTAACACCAAGTTTGTGGCACTGGCCAAGGATGAGAAATGGTCTGGCAAAAGCTTAGGTAGGCTGTGGGTGAGGGAGCACGGGAGGGGAGGGTGTCTGGAATACACCTGGTGACATTAGGCTGTCTCAGGTGGATCAGGAGTGACCCAGGGAGCTGATGACTCTTGTGTCAGACAGTGGAACATCCTGGCTCTCGGGGGCTGCGGATGAAGTGGACAGTGCTGCGGAGAAGTGGAAGCAGCTGGCCAGGCAGCTGAAGGGTGACCTGTCCAATATCATCCTGATGTCTGAAGAAGACCTCCAGGTACAGTGGGGAAACCCCCAATCCCTGTCCTTGGCTCTGCCCATCATCCATTCATCTCAGGAGAGAACAGAATTAGTAAACAAGATCTCGGGCTTAATTCAGCTGCTGCTGTTTGGCTGTTGGTACCAGAGTCAAATCTCTCATGTAGGGGAAACACTCAAGTGTCTGAGCAAGGTGCTCTTAACCCTGACTGTCCCTGGATGCCTTTTGGCTTCTGGTAAAGAATGGTGGCTTCACAAGAAACCTTGTGGGACATGCTGGGTTTCAGGAGGGCTGGTCCCTACTGCATTCAGGGCCATGGAATGAGCTGCTCAGCACGGGCATTGTTTTCAGGTGCTGATTGATGTGCCACGTTCAGACCTGGCAGAAGAACTTGCCCAAAGTGAAAGCAAAACCCAGGTGCTGCAGGACACCCTGCAGCAGGTGCTGGACAGAAGAGAAGAGGAGCGTCAGTCAAAGCAGCTCCTGGAGCTCTACCTGGAGGCCTTGAAAACTGAAGACAGTGTCTTAAGCAAAGCAGCAGGTAGGGAGCACTGGGATGCTGGAGGAGTTTCCCAGAGATGCCTGAAATAGTTGGTGGAATAAATAAGGTGGAGTGAAGGACTGGAGTGAGTCATTTGCTCAGCAGCTGTTAGTGGGGTTGATGCAAGAGCTGGTTTAGTGTGTGTGGTGTGAGAATTCTCTGACCAGGTGAGAGAATTCTCACAATGCCTGAAAGTAGAATACTGGGAGAAAAGCTTAAATCACATAGGCATTATGGCTTTCTTAACTTAGAGGGTACATGTAGATAAGATGCATATTTTCTTAATCTCACAACCATCAAAGCAGTCCAGGCCACTTTTCCTGTCCTATGTTTGTCAGGGGCTATATTGACTCTGCTCCCTTTCAGAACCTCAGGCTGCACCAAGGAAGGAGATGGATGTGGTTGACACAGGTACCAGCAGCACAGGCATTCCAGCCAAAACAGCCCTCAGTGACCAGATCCTTGCTGCTCTGAGGGAGAAACCTGCTCCAGAGCTCTGCTTGGACAGTCAGGACCTAGAGGTGGGTGAGAACAACACAATTGTATCCAGGGAAATCTCTCCCTCTGGAGAGAGAGGCTGTAGGGGAAGCTGTCCTTGCTCCTGGAGGCTCTGATGTCAGTGGATCTGTCTCAGCATGGTGACATTGAATCTGTTTCTCTCCCTCAGTACCTCTACCCCCTGCTTGCAGCCCCTCTGTGTCAGCCAGCTGATGCTGTTTCACGTACTCCAAAAAGCCACAAAATACTCTTGGGTTTGGTCTCTGACAAATCATAGTCAGCTGTCTTACCAGCAGGGTGGTTTTTTGTATGCAGAAGCATCTAGCTATACTTCTTGGTTATACATCCCAAATCAACAGCTCATTATTTTTGAAAACTATAAACAAACCCACAGCTGGGAAAGTCCAGCTAAACTGTAACCACTATAGAAAGGTGTTCTTCCAAGCTGTGACCTGGCTGCTGTTGCTTTTCCCTGCTGTGGAAACTAAGTAGCTGCTGTTTGTTCCCTTGAACATCCGAACAGAGCTTCAAGCTCTGAGTGTTGGCAGAACACTGGAAATCCAGTGGCCCATGGAATAGGTGATGAAAGCTGGGAACATCCTCAGTTCCAAAGTGCCAGTGCTAAACAGGTGCCTCATTCCTGCTGTTGTTCATGTGGGTGAGGGAGTCAGTGGAAAAGACTTAGAAATCTGCTTTCCTGCAGCTGGTGCTGAAGGAAGACAGAGCAGCCCTGGCCTCGGCTCTGGGGTGGGACAAGCAGAAGGCTGGAGCTCTGCAGGAAGCCTGTGACCAGGAGCTCTCCAAGCGCCTCCAGCAAGTGCAGACCCTGCACTCCCTGCGGAGCACGTCCAAGGGCAAGAAAACCCTGCCCTGGGGGGACTGGCCCAGCTCAAAGCGCAAAAAATAACAGTGCCCTGCTGCTGGCAGCTCAGCTCCTGCTTCTGCATTAGGATCCACACCAGCAAAGACACGTCCTGGGGGCCAGAGTTTGCTGGTCAAACTGTGCTCTGGCTATAGACAAGGGAAATCTGGACATTGTCCTAGGCTTAGACTCCTGGTGTGATTCAAATCATGTGTGACCAAAGGGATTTTGACTTTTTGCAGAATATTGGAACAATGGTATTGCTAAACACAGCATGTAAGGGTTCAGCTTTGCAAACCTGGTTGGGAGCCAGAAGCTTCCATCTGATGCTGGTGGCTGCAGCTCCTGAGGCCCTGGGCAGTTTGCTTACCTTGTCCCCCCACCATTTCCAGTGTAAAGGGTGGAAGATCTCTGAGACACTTTGAGGCACAGCTGTGAACAGGGCAGAGGGTTTAACCAGCTGCTGCCTGGCTCTGAGCTCCAGCCTGGGATCTAGGACCTTGAATTCTCACACTGATTTCATCAGTTAAAGTAAATTCAAAGTCCTTTCACTTCAGAGCTTTTTCTTGGGTGCTGTGTAAGAACTAACTGGTAAAACGCAGCAAAGATGGAAATAATTGCTTTGTAGGACTGTGTGACAGAAGACTTGTATTTGGCCTGCTGTGTTATTCTCCTAATCATGAGTGTAGCATCATGATGCTTTTGTATTAACTGGCTGATTTTTAAATTTGTTAAAGTCTTTTTTTCTGATATCAATAAAAGCTTTTTATCTTACTGTTGGGCTAGTTTTGATATTTCCACCAGCTGCTATAATTAATGTGCTGAATTCTTCTAAAAGAAATCTCATCCCTGAAAGTGGAACAGTCTGGGATGGGGGAAAGGGAGGGTATTGAAGAGCCATCATGTGAAATTTCCCCCCCAGAGATGGGGATTCATGATATTCCTGTGTTCTGCACTGCAGCACCTGATTTTATTTGATCAGTACTGGATAGTTGCAGCCTACAAAAGGTATGGGATTTTCCCTATCACTCCTGCTTAAAAGCTCAAATACAGAGCAAGAATGAAAGGCTGCACAAGAGCAGTGCTCTTTTTCCACTGTGTCATGTATAGCCAAGTGACTCAAATCTAGAAAGTGCACTCTTTTTTCAAACACAGAGCAAAGCTACACCTAGAACTTCTCAACTTCAATCAGTTCTGTCATGGAGAACCTTCTTTATCCTGGGGTGGTGTTTAATATATTAGCCTAACTAAAATGAGAAGCTGATGACTTTAAACTTGGTTTGGAGGAGTTGCCCTAAGCTGTATCCTGCAGGAAGGAAAAAGTGACTTCAAGGCAGAGTCTGTCTCATGAATCAAGGGCTGGGCAAGAGAAACAGTGTTCAAGTCTTTCCTCTCTTGCTGCATATTTTAGACTATCCTTGGCAAGCTAATTCTTGCTGGATCAAGTTGGCCCACACAGCAGCTTGAGCAGCCTCCTCATTTCCCTTGGCTATTTCTGTCTAATTACTGATGTCTTTAAATCTGCTTCTTTTGAATCAAATTATTTTTGAATTCTCTTTTACAGCTCTTTTGCACTCTGTAAGGCTCTGCCAGCCCGGCAGAGGGCAATGGGAGTCAGTGTCTGCCCACTGCTCCAGAGCCACAGTGCTGCCTGAAAATGGGAACTCCTGACAGTAAAGGTGATACCCCAGCAGTGTCACAGGGGGGAAGTGACACAAAACATGTTTAAACTGTCAAGGCAACAAGTAAAAGATATGGCTGTTAAAACAAAACCAAAATATTCAACATGCCTGAGCAAAAACATCTAAACTGGAAGCAAGGAGCAAGTCAAACAGTTACTGGAGAAATTAAGTAGCAGCACTGAGGGTGTTGCACATACTGAGTTATTATGGTTCAGTGAGAATGTTCTGCTTTAAACTCTTTATTTAAAGGAGTTTAATTTTAGTAACAGGTACTTTCTGTGAGCAATTAAGGCATTTTGGGCATAAGCTTTACTGAATTCTCACCGACCTTGCATTTTTGGAACAATAAAAATCCAACTCCTTGTGTTCACCTAAAAACCTAAAGATTCCTTACTGGTGTTAACCTGCAAGAGGAATCTTACAGAGGCTAATTCTGGTTTCTCTAGGATACTAAGAGAAGCTGACCTGAGACATTGCTTGAAAGGTAAATCATGACATGTTGGAATCTTCATTTTCAGTCACAGCTGCTTCTTTTTCCCCAGGAGTTCTCTCTCCCTTGGCTGCACTGGACTTCTTTTTCTTCTTCTCCTTTTGCTCCAAGTTACTTGATGCAAGCTCATCACTCTTCTGGGTGATATATTTTAGCTGAGAACAATAAACTAATTAGTTCTCTACTGAAGAACTTCATTTATTCACATGAAATCAGAGAGAAATATTGAAGAGAAAGTCATAGGGCAAATTCTTACTACAAGAAAGATGACAGACTCCAAAAAAATATTTACTCTGCCTTGTTAGGCAAGTTCGTGTTGCATATTTTGAATCACATATGAAAGGAAAAAATCTCCTCACATAAAATTAAAATCACTATTGGAAGCTTTCTTCTTCATGGTTCCATGTACAGGCATGTCACAACATCAGTGAGTTTAATCCACTGAACTTCACAGAGATCAGCACAAGAGAGAATGCAATGATTCCATGATCCCTGTGTTAATGTGAGGAGACTCAGCTCCTCAAGGCAGACTCAAACTATTCCTGGGCTACAACAAAGGACCACATCAGGAAAAGGCAAAGTGATTCCTTTCCAGGATTGATGATGCTGTGTCTGTATGGTGGGTTTTATTGCACTTCTGTACTTGGAACCTCAGCAACCCTCCTGCAACTCCTGAATTGCAATGAGATGTGTGTTCCCACAGTGAGGCAGTGTCATGAAGTAAGATGAAAATTTAAAAATCACTGGATTTGTGCCCACTCATCATCAGTAAGACAGTGAAATTGCCTAAACAACAGTCGCTTCCTCATCTATATCCTTCATTCAAATGCTCTTAGCTGGTTTAAGAATGTTGTGAGACAGAAAATACAGTGAATCTCACCAAAGAACTGCTCCTTCTAGCCAAAAGCTTCACATCTTCTGTATTGATTGTGCTTCGTTTTGCATGCCTGCATAAAATAAAAACACCCCTTAACATGTTTGCCAGCACTGTCTGTAAGAGGCCATAGAGCATCTCATTGAGAGCACTGAATTCAGGGACTAAAGGGGCTTAATATGCACCAAGCAAATCCCACCTGTCTGTCTTCCCTAACTATGCACAAAAAACTGTTTTAATCAAGCTTGTTTCTGTACATCTAAATTCCCACACTTTCTGTGTGAAAATATAGCAACCAGAACTTCAAGCACCACTGTCCTGTTCCCTCTTACCTGTCAGCAGGTCACTGTGTTGGGTTTTAACTAAAAACTCTCCTTTACCTCCTTGGAGAAACCAGCTTGGTTACCCCCAAACCATCCACTACCCCTGTGTATCAATGCATTTGATGATTATATACAGTTGTTAATCTAAACAATCACTTGTACCACATAAATGAGCTTCCAAGATCAGGAAGTACCTGCAGAGAATATCTATTTCCTAACTTCACGGCCACTATTTAAGCAGACAACAGAACACTTAAAACCTTGAATTACAAGACCTGTTTTAAAGATTACTTAGGAGCTAACACTAAAGAAGAAAGCCTTTGTAACAACCAGTGCCTACCTTGCAAACATTTCGAGGTCTCTTGCAAAGGTTTCTGGAGAAAACACAAAGATGACACATATTTTAAAATGCTGAGTGGAAAGAGATACATAATACACAACAGTTGTTACAAAGGTATTAAGTGCAGGTTATCCAAGTCAGTTAAGAGACGTGACCACAGCTGGTTATTTGGTGCCACTCTTGCACAGGCACGATATTTCCGCACACACTTACACGATTTTTTCAGGTCTGAAAAGCAGAAACGCTATTTCTTGTACTGTTGAAAACACAATGCAGGGGAATGCCCCAGTGACACCTAGTTCGGTGCTATTATTTTAAAGCCCCGAAAGCTATTTTAAAGCTATTTTAAAGCTATTGTTCAGCAGTGGCTCCTGAACCCAGGAGCTGTAACCCAAGTAACCCAGGTAGCATCAGGTAGCCCAGGTAACCCCAGGTAAGGTAACCCCAGGTAAGGTAACCCACGTAACCCCAGGTAACACCAGGCAACCCAGGCTGTACCGCACTGTCGGAAGGTGATCTCCGAGATGGCCGCGATGCTCTGTTTGCTGAACCGTATGTCCTTGTCCTCCTCCACCTCCTGGCACAGGCACCCGACCGTGTAGTGAACCGCCGCCTTCAGCCTCTGCAGGGACCAAGGCGGGGGCAGGCGGTGACACACCGGCTCCGCTCCAGGCCACCACAGCCGCCTGC